GTCAGCTGCTGGAGCATCGTCCAGTACATGTACTGAGGGTGGGGACACAGGGGGACAGGAAAGGTGGCTCACCCCAGCCTCCGGCCGGCAGCCCACAGCCACTCAAGGCAGACATCGTCCCTAGGTGTTCTCCCGGTGCCCCGAAGGGCTGGCAGCAGCGTAAGCTGTCCTCCGGGAGCCACCCAGGCCCCCCCACCCCCGCTGAGCCACCCAGGGTGCCCCCCCACCCCAGCTGAGGCACCCAGGTTTCCCCAGCTGAGCCACCCAGGTTGCCCCCCCCACCCCAGCTGAGCCACCCAGGTTGCCCCCCCACCCCAGCTGAGCCACCCAGGTTTCCCCAGCTGAGCCACCCAGGTTGCCCCCCCCACCCCAGCTGAGCCACCCAGGTCTGCCCCCCCCACCCCAGCTGAGCCCTGGCTACAGCTTTGGCTCCTCTGCTCCTTCACACGTCCCCAAGAAGGCAGACCTTCTCCCCACTCACACCTTCAGTCTGCAACCTGCTCATCTGTCCTCAATTACATGCTGCCCTGCAAATACCCCCGAGTCCTGAGTTGGCAGAGTTTAGGACCTCATCACAGCAGAGGCTTCCCGTGAGCAGGCCTTGCTTGCACTGCCCCCCACCTCCCCGCCCCCCTGGGCCCCGAAGCAGACATGGGCAATGGAGCAGAACGATTCGAACAGAATGTCAGGGAGAGCCCGGGAACAAAGGAGCACCGGGGTGGGGGGCTCCGCTGGGGACGGAGGGGCAGGGGGAACCACGTGGCCACCAAAGTGCTCAGACGCAGTGCAAGTCCACAGCTTCTTAGACCTGACACTCCTGGCGAAGGAAAACTTAGAAATGGGCTCGAACCCGGGAGTCCCCCCAAGAAGGCCCCCTGATCTTTTCTCAGCCTAAGGAGCCCATGACAATGTCCAATTCAAAAGGACACTAGAGCAGACGGGAATACGTTGATTCAGACGTGCAAGTGTTCAGCAAACACCAGAAAAGGTGCCCAGCCACACTACCCATCAGGGAGATGCAAACTGACCCCTGCACCCTCACTGACTACAGGAAAAGGCACACGGCAGCGCCTGTCGGCCAGCGGGGAGCGGCCGAGCAGCCAAAATGCTTACCTGCTGCTAGCGTGAGCAGGGACTGGCACAAGCGCTCTGGGGAACTGTCTGGAAGAGCTTCTAGGCTGAGTGTACAGATACACGTGCTCTGTGACCCAGCAAGTGTATTTCTGGATACACACCCAACTGAAAAGTGCCCATGTGTGCACCAAGAGATGTGGCCTAGAGTGTTCACCGTAGCTCTGTACTAGCCCCGAACGGAAACAACCCGCACGTCCCGCGGACCAGAATGCTCTAGAATGTTCGCAGTAGCCCTGTCCTGGCCCCGAACGGAAACAACCCGCATGTCCCGCGGACCAGAATGCTCTAGAATGTTCGCAGTAGCCCTGTCCTGGCCCCGAACGGAAACAACCCGCACGTCCCGCGGACCAGAATGCTCTAGAATGTTCGCAGTAGC